ACATTTGGCAATATCTTACAAGCGGTACTTTACCGGAAGATAAAGCTGAAGGCTCCAAAATCAAACTCAAATCTTGTCATTTCACAATTGAAGCTGGAGAGTTGTTCAAAAGGGGATTCTCAGTATCCCTTTTAAAATGCCTTAACTCAGATCAAGTTGGGTATGTAATGGACGAGATCCATCGGGGTATATGTGGTATACACTCGGGAGCTCGGTCCATGGCTGCTAGGGTGATCCGAGCTGGCTACTACTGGCCAACTATGAGATCAGATTGTAAAGCATATGTACAAAAATGCGAAGCTTGTCAGAAATTTGGCAACCTACACCAGTTACCTGCAACTGCCCTACACTCCATGCAATCAGCATGGCCTTTTGCGTGGTGGGGCATGGACATACTCGGTCCTTTCCCAGTCGCCAAAGGTCAATTGAAATTTTTAATTGTGGGGATTGATTACTTCACAAAGTGGATTGAAGCTGAGCCTTTAGCGCGAATTACAGCGACTAATGTGCAACGTTTTACGTGGAAGAAAATCATTTGCAGGTATGGCATACCTCAAGCAGTCACCACAGACAATGGAAAGCAATTTGTAGACAAAAATTTTGAGCAATTCTTGATGCAACTCGGCATCAAACACAAAGTCACCTCAATAGAACATCCATAAACAAATGGCCAAGCCGAGGCAGCAAATAAAGTGATTCTCCGTGAACTTAAGAAGAGGCTAGGGTCTTCCAAAGGAGAATGGGTTGAAGAGTTACCGAGTGTCCTGTGGGCATACCATTGCACCCCACAGACCACCACTCAAGAGACTCCCTATAAGTTGACCTATGGTTCAGATGCAATGATACCCGTTGAAGTTGGTGAGCCAAGTCACATAAGATTAACGTTTACTGAGTCCCAGAACGGAGAACAACTGAGCTTGGACAGAGATCTACTAGACGAAACAAGGGAACACGCCAGGGTGCAAGAAGAAGCATGTAAACTTCGAGCATCACGGAGGTACAACTCCAAGCTCAAACCGAGATCTTTCCATGAAGGAGATCTCGTCTAGAGAGCCACAAGCGACGCTAGGAAAGATGCATTAGCAGGAAAATTTGTAGGAAGGTCCTTTTCGCATCGTAGAATGCCTACAAAATGGAGCGTATAGATTGACAGAACTCAGTGGCAAAGTTCTCCCTAGAACTTGGAACGCCACCCATCTGAAATTTTATTTCAGTTAAACGCATGTAAACCCAGGTGTTGTACTCTTTTTCCTACTTCAGTCTTTTTTCCCAACAAAAAAAAAGGGTTTTGGCTGAAGAGGTTTTAATGAGGCACACCTGAGGTCAGCAAGAGAGATGTAATGCACACATAACTTCATACTCAATATTACAAGATCCCTCTTCTGCAATTTGATTTCTTCTCTTTTACATAAATTTAATTTTTCCCTTGTTCCTTAATCTAATTCTTCCTTCTTGACCAAATCTAAGCCAATGTTAAGAAACTCGTCCAAGTCTAAGCCGATATTCAATTTGACTTGAAACATGGCCAAGTTTGAGCCAATGTTAATAAACACGTTCAACTTTGGGCCGATGTTAGTTTTAAGTTGAAACTTGGCCAAATCTGAGCCAATGTTAAGAAACTCGTCCATGTCTGAGTCGATGTTATCTCTAGTTCAAAACTCGGTCTAATTTTAATCACTTTTAATAACATCGTCCAAATCTGAGTCGATGGTAATTCTGGACTGAATATTTTAGCCAAGTTTGAGCAATAATTTAGCCAATACTTTAGCCAAGTTTGAGCAATAATGTAGCCAAGTTTGAGCAATAATTTAGCCAATACTTTAGCCAAGTTTGAGCAATAATGTAGCCAAGTTTGAGCAATAATTTACCCAAGTTTGAGCCATAATTTAACCTAGTTTGAACAAAATTTATTCTTCATTCATAACACTACTGCTACCAATTTCGAGTCAATCACGTTCGCTACCAATTTCGAGTCAATTACATTCGCGGCATAACACGACCAAGTTAGAGCCGATTTCATCCTATTACGGTAAGCTAGTTCCATTCGAATATCTATATGCTAACTTTAAGCATAGCACCATAGTTAATTAAGCACTTCATCAAGACATTCGAAATATTATAAAGACTGTCAAAAGTTTAGCCTATGAAGGCAATATCAAATACAAGATACAACTAGATACAAATCATACTATTGCTCAGTAAACAAATATAATTATTCATTGTTCTCTTCACTGCTCATATCATCAGTGATGTCATCTTCATTAACCAGTTTTCCCTTAAAAACATCTTTTTCGATGTGAACTTCTGTCAAGTCAATGCTTGGGGCAATACATTTCACTTGTCGTAAGGCTTTCGAAAATCCCCTCTTGTGCTCTACGACCTGTAGACCCCTAAAATTGTCCGGGTCGGAAATA